ATATTATTCTTATAAATAAGTATAAATATATTATATTACTCTCATGTTCATTATATTATTATTTCTACACAATGAAACTGACTGTTCAAAATATTGCAGCACACACACACACACACACACACACACACACACACACACACACACACACACACACACACACACACACACACACACACACACACACAATACTAACTCAGTGTATTTCAGAATTACTTCGCTGTTTGGTGTTTTGTCGTTTTTGTGATATTTAATCAAATTCGTAATGATAAAAATATTTTTACATTTTTGATTTGTAGGTCAATAAAACATATTTTGCCGTAAATTGATACAGAAATATTTTGTTGTGATGAGTAGTTATTGAATGTTAGCGACGCTCTGTTCGCGCTCGCACCAGTATGTAAATGTAAACTATGACTATAGGATGAAGTTGCTGTGATTGACAGGTGAAGTCTGGCCCCTCCCCTCGCACCCCTGCTCGTGAACGCGCACAAATGATTGTTTCCCGCTGAATGGAGTCTGACAGGATTCTGACGGTGAGCAATTTTACTGATTAATCGATGATTAAAGTGATTAATTGACTAACAGAAGAGCTGTGTGTGTGATGATGTGAAACAGGAGAATATCTGAAGCATGATAAATCACTTGTAATTTGATTTATGACAGCCTTTCACTTCAGTGAAATTGATGAGCTGATTAGTGTCAGAATCAGAAGTGCATCCTCACATTCAGCAGATGAGGATTCGAGGGTCAGAGATTCGACGAGTTCGAGCACAAATGACGAAGAAAAGCTCGTAAATTAAGATTAAAATGGTTATAACTCTTTAAAAGTGAACGAATATGCGAATATAAACCCAACTTTACCTCAGTCATGAGCTGCTTCTGTCCGCCGCCGCCGTCCTCCGTGTTTGTGTTCTGACAGATCCTTCCGCTGCCAGGAGAGCAGGAGTGGGTGCTGTCAACATAGTTCAGGAGAAGCTTTAGTGGACAATGAGTTCTGAAGATCTGTTTAACATTACAATTAACACCAGCCTTTATATAATACTACTTAATGGGACAGTTCACCCAAAAATGTAGATTTACTCATCATTTACTCTCCCGCGAGCGGCTCCAGACCTCTGAATTTCATTATTTGTTGATGAAAAAGAAGATAACGTTATTCTGAAGAAGGTTGGGAAAAAGCTACGGAACCCCGGAAGGGACGTAGTGGAGGAGAAAAAAAATTGGCTGGGTAAATAAAAATAATGGGTGAAAGAAAAAAATGGGTGGGAGGAAAATATATATTTCTAATTTTTTGCGTTCTCTCGCAAAGATGTTTTGCGTTCTCTCGCAAAACAGTTTCTCCACAAACAGTTCCTGTTCACTTCACTCACGTTAACCCTCCCGTTTTTGCCGAAATTCTCCCGTATTTTACCATTCTACCCCACTTTCTTTACATTACTGTGCGTCGATCGTCGCCTTTCATATGCTACCTCTGAACCAGTGAATGCATGTATAAGCGCTGACTGACAGACGCGCTCCGTACAATAAACTGACTCCAGATCAGCTTCTGTACGCGCCATTTACAGAGGAGCACAGAGGAGCGGGTGTATGTTTAAACAGACAAATACACTGAATAATATGTAAACATCTCCGTTCTGCATGTTTTATTTTAACCAGCTTATTTTCTCTTAAATG